ACTTGGCGAACCCGGGCTTCGATCAGGTTCTGCCATTTTTCAGCAGTGGCACAGTCATGCAGTGTGGTTCACTTATCTTCTTGAGCTTCAATGTCCTCATTCATAAAATAGGACTGCGTGTCACACAGGGCTGTGCATAAGCATCTGAGATGACAGCTACATGCAAGTGAGTGCTTTGGAAATGGTCGTGCACATATGAAGAATACTGTGCCACAGTGAATGTGCTAATGTGCTGCTCAGCTTTCCCCCACTTCTGCTTTTTTTTTTTTTTTTTTTTGACCGGCAGTTAGACAGTGAGAGAGAGAGAGAGAGAGAAAGGTCTTCCTTTTTTCCATTGGTTCACACCTTCCAATACTCACCCCAGTTTTCTTTTTTTTTTTTTTATGGTTATTTGATTTTTTTTATCTTTTATTTAATGAATATAAATTTCCAAAGTACGACTCATGTGTTACAATGGCTTCCCCCCCATACCGTCCCTCCCACCTACAACCCTCCCCTTTCCCACTCCCTCTCCCCTTCCATTCACATCAAGATTCATTTTCGATTATCTTAATATACAGAAGATCAGCTTAGTATACCTTAAGTAAGTATTTCAACAGTTTGCTCCCACACAGAAACATAAAGTGAAAAATAATAGATGATTTTTTTTAAATGATGATGAAATCAGATCAGACCTATTGTCATGTTTAATCCCAGTGAGAGTCAAGTTGTCACCCCAGTTTTCAATTATGTTTTATTCCCCATACACGATGCTAGAAGTTGGTTACTAAAAAATAATTTCAGCACAGTTATATATTGAGTCCTAAGTTAAGCTAGGAGAGAGAAATTATTAGGGGACGATTTCTCTTTTAAAAATGATGAAACTTAGAGGACATAAACACTGAGAGAAAGCCCTTGCCTGTCTTCCTTGGTGTGATCCTTCTCATAACTGAGGATCCAGGATCCACATGTACTCCAGGAGTGCTAAGTATTAGGCACTGGGGGTGAATGTGGGGTTAGGGATGTTGTAACCAAATAAAGACACAGGAAGAAATGGCCTCATGTGGTCTTTCCTCCTAAGACATACAAGGAATCCATGAGTAGCAGCTTATAAAATATAAAATCCAAAAGAAAAGAGCTTTCCCAATTTTGTTATTTCAGAAACAAAATGGCAAGCCAAAAGAAAGTATTCGGAAGATAAAAAGAATGATAAATTTTTCTTAAAATTTAAAAAACACTGATGAAGTACTTTGAAATTAGACTTGTACTCCAAATGTAAATAATAAGGGTGACATCTGGTCTTCTGGCTTAAATTTATAGAGACCAGTCTGGGCCTCCTTGCTACATTTGTGTGCACTGAAAGGGGACACAATTCTTTAGATATTGAAGGATTACACTTATGATTATAAAGTAAACAAAGTATGTCCTTGTAAAAAAAATTCAAATAAAAAGGGAAAGAAGGAGAAGTGTGGGTGGGAGCATCAGCTATGCCCCTGGATCTTTATATATGAAATACACAAAATCTGTTCCCCTTATATAAGTAAAAACTATTTAAAACAGGGGGGAGGGATCAAATAAATTAGGCTTAGGTAAAAATAAATTGTGTCCATTCCCTGGATGTGTACTCCAAGACCTGAAGCAAGAATTATCAGATGTTCTTTAGTAGTTGTCCACTGAATTAAAGTAGGTAGCATAATTCTTATTAGAGATACTATTACATATGAAAGGTACTAGAAAATAGGACTTTCTCTATTGGAAGCAATGTCTGGTGGCAAAATAAATGCATGGAATTTGGAGTCAGATCAAGTTTCCCTTTACTACAGACCTAGAGAAAAGATGTAGATCACTTCACCATCCTTGTTGTCACTTTTGTTACCTGAACTGGGAGAATCCCCTCCCTCAGAGGCAGTTGGAGACATTCCAAGAGCCCCTTTATTGAAATGATCTGTAGTATTTAAGTTCTATATAGCATGAGATGTAGATTATCTCACTTTAGTTCTCACAAAGACTAGCAGGTTTTTATGGGCAAGCCCATTGTACAAAACAAAATCTGAAGGCTTGACAAGTTTACCTAAAGGTACCAAATTAGCATCCTAATTAAATTTCTATCTCCAGCCATAGCACCACTGCTACGATACATCCCTTTACCGGCTCTGCCATGAACATATTATGATAAACACCCCCATGTCATTCCTGTCTCTTTCTTCTACCATGTACTCCAGAAAGATCTAACTAGATGTTACACCTGATGAAAATCCCTACATTCTTTGTGTTGTCTCTGTATTCCTGAAAACATGCACTTGTGTTCCTGATAGTGTGTAACCTTCTTGAAATTGTAAATTTTTGTGCATTTTTATGGATGCCATTTCTGCCAAAAGGGAGTTTAGGTCATAAGAGTCTTCATTGTTCATGGTATCATCGAAGGCCTAGGACCCCTGACTCAAAGAGAATCCCTAAACACCCCATTGAGGCTTGTCAGTGATTACTTCATCCTATCTCTCCACCCTTCCAAACCTAAATGCTGAACCACCAAATTAAAGTCTCCCACTTGACCTGGGTTAGAAGCCTACTCTGGGATGTGTGTAGTGTACAGCATGCCTCTGTCACTTGAAGTAGTCATGTTTAAAAACTTATGTTCCATGGATTGGAACATTCTACATGAATTTATGAAGTGACCACCCCTAGGATTATGCTCCCCAGAGGTAATCCCCCATAACACTTCAGTGTCTGTTCTTTCAGACATGTTTCCTGTCTCTGTGAGTAACTAAACTATAGCTACTTTATGAACATGGGACAATCATTTATTCTACAACTGGATTTGTTAATTTATTAAGCTGTGATGATCATCTTTCCATGTTTCTACAAAGAGATTTACAATGCGTCTGACAATCATTGTCTATTTATTTCATCCCTTTGATGGTTAATACCAGGGTTACTTTTTAGTCCTATTTCTCTCAAATATGAATCCTGTTTACTAACCGTGGTCACATGATTTTATGTACTTAAGAGTATTTCTGAATAATATTTCCTGGAGGTGGATAGTGTATATGCAATTTAAAATTTAATAATACCTGCCAGTCACCCAATGTTCATATTCATGCACATTGCCACCAATATGCTATGCATTTCCTAAGTGTCTATTTCTGTGTCTATTTCTTACCCTCCTTAGACTCTTCTCCTCCCAAAGGCAAAAATGTCTTTGTGTCCCTACCTGGTGTTACAGAAGGTATACAAAGTAGCCATTGTGAGAATGAGTGGGTAAACAAATATGCAAGAGAATAAATGACTCAAGGGTTCCTATAATCCTCACAGCAGCTCTAAAAATCAATTGAACGTTGCAGTTTAGAGGATGCCCTAAATTTATATTTTAATGCTCATTGAATAAATGAGCGAGTCTAGGATGGCACCTTACCCTGATTTTACCATCAAAATCATTACCAGCCCTGCCCTGGTCTTTCTGGGTCTCGTTTTTCACATCTCACAATGTGAAGAGATTGGCATCATAATACTCAGATCCAGGCGTGCAGCTCTGTTTCTTCTCTCTGTCACCTGACATATGCTAAAGTTCATTCCCTACTTTTTGATCTCCAATCTACATCATCCAATAATGAAATAAAATCCAAGACTAAGGTTACTGAGCAGCATAAATGATTTATGGTCTTTTCACTCTGCATATCTGGATTCCAACTTTTTGTACATTTTAGAAAACTGAAAAATTACTAGACAGAAAAGGTCAAATACATACCAATAAACATTCTCACAGGTGTATAGAAGGCATTTCATGCATTAGACCTCACACAAATGATTAATATCCATCTTATAATTATTGCTTTTATAGTAAGAATAATGTTTGTACTGGGATTTATTTTTGATGAGGTTTTCATAGCTGACAACTAATTTGATATAGTTAATGGGAGAATGAACATGCAGCTTTTGGTCTTGTTTAACTGATCCATGTACACTATTCTGAAAAGAGAAACTCTTAGCCAATTATTTTAAAAATGCATAAACATCAAGGTAAAAGCATTCCCAGTCGACATCTATGCCCATTAGCCATGGTGGACATCATCATTTCTAAGCTTTTAATAAGTGTTTCTATTTTTGTAACACTTTGATTATGGATGTCAGAGCAGGATGTTGGAAATAGTCAGTTACAATATCGGCAAAGAAAAGCATAATAAATGCCCTTTTATTTACATAACACAAAGCTATTTTACACCTAACATCTGACCTCCTTCTTTCTCTACACACTTTGTATTCTTGTTCCATTATCTCAGATGCTGTCTCATCTGACATGGCTCTCCTGGCTCATCCACCTAGCCCATTGTCAACGCTACTGACTTATCATCCCCATTTGATATCTGACTGTTAAGGGTGATGGGGGAAGAAAATTACTCAACTTCCTTAACTGGAACAAAAGGCCCTTCACTTTCTGGGCCCCTGTACTTGATAAGATTCATCTCATTTCCTATCTCAAGCTTTATATGTGGTCCAGAAATGCACAACTGACAGGAGTTCCTAATGTCACCTGAATGTGAGAAACTACCTGTATGTCCCCTGTCCATTAGCTGGAACAAGTCCTGATCCTCAATGCTGTATCAACTCAGGAAGTCTTCCTCTCAGGCTAGGTGAAAGGTCCCCACCAACACCCTTTCTTGTGCTTTCTCTAGCTGTTTTCTCTTTAGTCATTAATATGCCTATACCTCCCACTTGACTGTAAAGTCCATAAGAGGGAGAGGCTGAATTGTTCTTTTTTTAGTAAACATACAACGGTGTGTGTTGACTGCTTAGATATTGTTGAACAAAATAGAGTCCTTCTATTGTAAATAGGATTGCCAGAGGAGTGCTAGATGACTAATCTAGATAAGGCAAATGAATAGAGTGATTTGGCCTAAAACTCAGGTCTCCTAACAGCAAATTCCTGCCATTTTTCTACTGTTGTGAACACTACCTGATCCGGCTGATTGCCTTGGTTGATAAATAGTTTGCAACTAAATAACTGTGTACTTTCTGCCTTCCAGGGTGGACACACAGTGTCAATGGGGCCTGCATCTGTCCCCCCTTCATTTCGTCCAGAAGATGAGCTTGAGCACCTGACCAAAAAGATGCTGTATGACATGGACAATCCACCTTCTGAAGAATACTTTGGTGAGTGGAGCCTAGAGCAGATTTCTGAAGTAAAGGTCCTTTTGTGCTTTTGTTTCTTAATTACAGAGCAGTGTTATCAACCATACCAACTACACCGATGAGAAATTGCGGTCTGGATGCATGGAAGCTGATGTACATGTGCATACCACAGAGCACTGCCAGGCATTGCACTGGAAGACTGCCATGAATGCCTGCTTCCCTGTAGTACTATCTCAGTGGTCCTTAGAGTTGGCTGAGGTACAAATCTGATTTTAAGACAATTTTTGACAGCTTATTAGCTTCCTATTAGGCAGAAATAGGGTGTCTGTGTACATTTAGGTTTCTCCCTTGTCTAAAGATTTATGCATAAAATGTGGAATTGAGTATTGGCTGAACTCTGTCCTCTAATGCTTTCCCTAAGTCCAGGAAAATACGTTTAACTTCTCCTGCCTCCAAATTGTGAGTAACTGTGGATAGTTAATGTATCCAGTCCATTAGTTGATGTATAAATCATGGGTCACTGTGGTCTCAAAAACCTGCCTCAGGGAGGTTGCAATTGTTTAGAAAAGATAAAACAAGGACAGAAATAGTTATTTGTCTACCTAGAAAGTGATAAGAGGTATAAGAAAACTTAGGTCAAAAACAACAAATTTTAGAAGTTCTATTTCTGGTTGTTGAAGAATTCCCCATACTGTTTTCCATAGTGGCTGTGCTGATTTACATTCCCACCTACAGTGCATGAGAGCTCTCTCTTCTCCAGATGTTTCCCAGCATTTGTTATTTTCTGTCTTTTTGATAATAGCCATTTTAACAGGGGTGAGGTTATATCTCATTGTGGTTTTGATTTGCATTTCCCTGACATCAAGTGAAATTGAGTCCTTTTTTTTTTTTTTCTTTTTGGCCATTTGTATTTCCTCCTTTGAGAACTGTCTGTTCAGGTCTTTTGTCTATTTCTTAACTGGATTGATTGCTTTTTATTGTTGTTGAGTTTTTTGAATTCCTGATGTATTCTGGGTAATAATCCTTTATGGGATAAGTAGCTTACAAATGTTTTCTCCTATTCTTCATTCTATTGATTGTATCTTCAGCTGTGTAGAAGCTTCTGAGTTGGATATAATGTCATTTGTCTAGTTTTACTTTTATTGCTTGTGCTTTTTCAGGTCTTAGCCAGAAAATCATTGCATACTCCAAGGTCCTGAAGTCTCCCATGTTTTCTTACAGAAATTTCATAATTACAAGTCTTACATTTAGGTATTTGATCTGTCTTTAATTGATTTTTGTGTATAGCGAGGGGCAGGAATCTAATTGCTGAAGTATATCCAGTTTTGATAGCACCATTTCAGACTACACCCTTCTTCAACTGTGGTTTCTTGGCATCTTTGTCAAAATTCAGTTGGGTGTATGTATACTGATTAAATCCTGGAAAACATCAAGGATGTTTTTTAAAACTAGAAATAGAACTACCATATTGATCTAACAATTCCACTACAGGGTATGTATCTGAAAAATCATGGAATTATTATATCAAAGAGACTTCCACCATGTTTATTGCAGCACCATCCTCATTAGCCAAGATATGGAATTAGCCAAGGTGTCCATCATCAGATGAGTACATTAAGAAAATGTGGTATACTTACACAATGGCATACTCTGCAGCAACAGAAAATAGAATGAAATCCTGTCATTTGTAGCAAAATGGATGGACCCGGAGGACATCATTTTAAGTAAAACAAACCATTCACAGAAAGACAAATGCCACATGTCCTCCTTCATATGAGGGAGCTTAAAAAAACTCTATCTGAATACAAATGTTCATTACTAGAGGTTGGGGTAGGGAGTAACAAGAGTTTGGATAATGAGTACCAAAGCAGAATTTGACCTAAGGAATAAGTTCTTAGTGTTACACAGCATACTGGGAAGACTAGTTCCTGCCCCCCCCTAAAAAAAAAGTGAACAATGAGGTCTATATTAGGCTATACTAAAATGAAAAGCTAGCTTACTTATATTTGCTACAAGTATCATAGCAACCAAAGATATAGCAATAGGGAAAGCTGAACATAGATAGTAATTGTGTTAATAGTTAATTGTGTTAATGAATGTAACTGAACACTCAGGGAAACAGCTATAAATTAATTTTTTTGCCTTCAAGAATTGTCTTTACTATGTACAAGCTTAGAAAACTTGAACAAATGTCTTACTGCCTCTGTACCTTCATTTTTATATCTGTAATTATGGGAATAAAAACTAGCTATACTATTACTGAGTAAAATATTTATAGAAAGCACTCAGCCACATTTTTGGCTTAAAGAATATGCTCAAGAACCAAAGTTCTACCATGTTCTTGGAACTTGCAGGTTATTTTTGAAAATAAGATATGCCCATTAGGAACTCTTTAATAATACTTAAACTTTAGATCATAGCAACAATAGTATATATGTCACCCAGTGGTAAATAATTGTTGCCAAACTGTGATCAGTGATCCTGAAAGGGAATGTAGAAAAATGGCTTTTAGTGAGTGGTTATCCTATGACAGCAGTATTTTATGTCCTGTATAGGGATTAACCATGTCATCCTTAGAGAAAAACTGAATGCTGCAAAGTACATGCTATCATCATTTCCAAATCGGGAAACGAAGGCACAAAAATGGTAAAAAAAAAAAAAAAAATTTGGGCTCTGCCCAAAAGGCTTCCATAGCCTTGGCAACTCATGACTAGAGCCTAGGGAGATTACTGATGTCATAAACAAGAGTGTCAAATTGTTAAGTCAGTAACAGGAGTCACTGTGTACTTACTTCTCATGTAGGATCTGTCCTTAATGTGTTGTCCAATGTGAAGTAATGCTATAACTAGTACTGAAACAGTATTTTACACTTTGTGTTTCTGTGTGGGTGCAAACTGATGAAATCTTTACTTAATATATACTGAATCGGTCTTCTGTATATAAAGATAATTGAAAATGAATCTTGATGTGAATGGAATGGAGAGGGAGCGGGAGATAGGAGGGGTGCGAGTGGGAGGGAAATTATGGTGGGGGAAAGCCAATGTAATCCATAAATTGTACTTTGGAAATTTATATTTACTAAGTAAAAAAAAAAAGAAAAAAAATTGGGCAATATATTGGTGTGCTGGATTATAAACCAGGCTCTAGGTATATACATTTATACTACACTGTAGAGGATAGTAAAAGCTAGCCCAGCTATATGTTTAGAAGAGGGTTTGTAGACATTAGTTTTGGGGGGTTAGAAAATAAGGGATGGGTATTTTTTAAGCAAATAGGTTGAATAATATATAACTTGATGCCAGGATTATTCAGGGAAAATTTATTGTCTGAGGGAAACATCTAAGTGCCCATTATGTTCAGGCTACTCTATTAGGTGGTCCAGCAGGTAGATATGGGTTTTGTCTTGAAAAGTGCTTTTAGTCTGTTGTAGCATTTTACCATACACAAGACAGAAAGTGACAAGTGGCCAAATCAAAGTTCAGCCAGTGTTCTTTGAGAACTTAGAAAATAGAGCACATCCAGAAACAGGAATGTAAAGATATTTAAGGAGTAGTTAGCCTTTAGTAAGTCTTTTAGATTGTGCTAATTGAGATTTAGAAGTTGCAACAAATAGAAAAGTATGGTCATTTCTACTGAGGAGAATGTTAGTACAGCATGGAATAAAAAAAAATGTGGAGCAAAACACCCATGTGATCAATAGCAAATACTGTGTAATAGGCTGGAGAAGTACATTGGACCTAATATGGAAAAATCTCAAATTCTGGCTAAAAGACTTAATCTCCTAGAATGAATCCACCCACTTTGTGATCAGATGCCCCAGGAGCTGTTCCATGGATGCCGGTAAAGACAATGAGCTCCAGAGCCAAGTGCCTTGACTGAAGGCCGACTCTGCCTCTTCCTGGCAAAGTGAAGTCAAGAGGCAAAGGCCTTGTTAACCTGCTATTTCCTGCTCTACTTTTTCAACATTGCCCAGGCACCTCTGGGTCTGCACCGCGTTGGGGATTAGGGATACCAGATGCAGAGGTTGTGCCCACACAGAGTTTACAGTCCCCAGCGAACAGCAGGAGAGGCACATGGGTAAAGATTTCATTGCTGTTATCAGCTCTGTGTTGAGTCTGACCAGGGCACCATGTTACCATAGAAGAAAGAGTCCATAAGTCTGCCTGAAGATGAGAGAAGGAAGATTATATAGAAATATGTGCACATCCACATTGCCTGACCCAAAAGAGATAAAGTCTTCTCTTGTACACTACTAGAATTTTATCTTAGGCCTATTCTGGGCTGGAAAGAGCATTGCCAAGCATGACTTTAGAAGAATATCTTGCTCTTGAGATACCATTCCTAGCCCCAGCGAATGCCCATAACCTATTTTCTTTCCCTGTCACTTTTTCTTTTTAATGCTGGCATTTTCACCGAAAGGAACAAAATGTGGATAAATGGTGTCAACAGAGTAGACTTTCTGTGTCCTTTTACTTTCTTTTCATGCTCTTCCTCTTATTTCTTTTAGTAGAATAATTCAAGAATATATTGTTGTTGTTTTTATGGAGCCTTCATCACTTTTAACAGTTTTTTTATATTCAAAGAATGACTATAATTATGATATGCTTGAAAGTATTAATAAGTCACCTCACAGATGATATAAGTACAAAGAATGAAAGGTGCCTTTACAATGATGAGATCTGTATGGGTGAGAAATTTAGCATCACCAGCAATGGGACAACTGATATGATATAGAAAGTATGCCAGTATCACCTGTGTAAGTCTTGATGAAATATGTAACTCCAATACAGCTGTTAGAACATTTAAAAATCCATGTAATGCCCTCAAGACAACTTTTCTGTATTTTTCAAAATTCTCAGTGGAATAAAAGACAATTCTAATTTAAAGGGAACTAAAGAGACCTACCATTCAAAAGCAGGCAAGAGTCTTGATTGAATTCTGGATTTTAAAAAAAGGTGGTTTTAGGGGCTGGCACCATGGCTCACTTGGTTAATCCTCCACCTGCGTCCCATATGGGCGCC